AGATACCATTAGCCGATTTTAAAAAATCATACTTACAAGGCGAAACCTCACAAAATACGTATAAATAAAATATAATCTAAAATGAACATAAATTGTTATCTTTGTTGCACTGCTGTCTATAAATTAACTCTGAAGTGGCTGAACAGTGAACTTTCGATTGTTCCAAAATAACAGGGCTGCAAAGATTCAGGCCAATTCTCACTTGGCAGTGTGTTGCGTCATTTTGCTGCGAAGCCCTTCATGATTTCCATGTGATAGCGCATCACATCAGCAGTACAATGCGTCTTGTCACAATTATTGACACTGGCTCGTATGAATATAAATGGAGCACTTGTTCAAAGTATGTGCTAAGTAGTAAAATCATCAACTTCTACTGAAAGGTCGAATAAAAGGAAGACTTTCAATTCATTTGAACAATGAAATGATTTTACTCCATAGCATCTTAACTTCCGGGAAGCAAATGTTCTGCTTCTCAAACATCATCTTATTGTATACAGGAGTTCATCTTGCTCTTGGTCTAACGGTAATAAAACTCTATCGTTTAGATTCGTTTGTTAGCAGCCGTAGCAGAGTTGTCTATGGTTGAACAATTTTCGAGCTAGTTCTCTTTACCAGAAATTCTGCACACTGGAGATTAAATCTCCTGGCCGGTATTTACATTAGCTGTGTCGACTGGTTCAGGTCATCTGGTATATACACAATTCGAAGTCACTTGGCTGTTTTAAAGTTGTGAACATACGAAATGTAATTCAATAAAACTAGATCCAAAAACAGATTTTGTGTTTAGAAGTAGATTCTAACAAGTATTTTATTAATGGCAAGAAGCTAGAAAAATTCTCTAATAAGCAAGAATCTAGTTTTAATTTTTTTCTCACTTAGCATGTCTGTCATAAAATTATGATAGTTATACCATAAGTGTTAAACATTGTGAATTAAGTAGCAAATAATATTTGTAGAAATGATATTCATCATTAAATTTATCCGAAGTTTCTAATAAAATATAGATATCTCATCAAATTTTGGCATATAGCATTTTATTTTCTGAAATACTAATAATACCTTTCTATTTTTTAATTTGTTATTGGAATTACAATGAAATGTTGACAGCAAAAAGACATTAGATGTCACATCTATCTTATTCATCGTACTCTTTGAAAACAAATGGTAAACAAGAATATGCGTCAGAAAATGAATATAATTATAGAAAACTTTTTTTGTTTTGTTGTAGTAAAAATATATTTGTATTTAGAAAGATATATACGATCTTATTTAAGAAAATAACAGCAAATTCCCCATATTACAGAAAAATAACGCCTTCTAAAAGTTTCTATTGGAAACTCAGGAAGTGAAAAAAGTAAGTAAAATTTTTCAACCGTGATAGGGATAATGGCGGCAAACCTATTTTAGAAGACCAGATATAATTTTTAATTAATGATATTGTAAGAAACAACTACTGCTACTCTGCGGACTACAGTTTCGTCCAGCATTGAAATACACCCGCAATATCCAGCAAACGGCTAAGATTGTCAACAAACTTACCAAGGATAGAGCGGATGTTTATCTAGCGACATCTTTTCCGTATGGATGAGTTATAGTCTACAGAGTATGGTATATCTTAATTGTCACTACATTTTTTGTAGCTACATCCAAATAGCTAAATCTCTCGCCGATTGCCTGTGGCATACTGGTGAGAATAATTTCGAAACCTGTGTAAGTCTGTTGATAGCAGACGTAATTCAGTACTAAGTCGAGCTGTAATCCGCTGAGTAGTTGTTTCCCATGTTATAGTTAGTCCGAAGAACAAATTAGTCTCTGTCAGTAGCTCCAGTAGGCATTGAGTATTAGACAATTAAGAACTACGTAGGTAATATCTTACCCACACTGTAGAGTTTGTGAAGTTGAAAAATGTATAAGATCGATCATGATTGCGACATATCACTTGTAACTCCAACTGAAATATGATTCAGATTTCAGCTTACGGTTTTTTTTAATAAGCTTTCTTACATTTTCTAGGAATAAATTTATTTTTAAGTTTTCACTGAAACAATAAATAGGTCTCTCTCTGCCACCAGATCCAGTAGGCATTGAGTGCAGTGACAATTAAAACCTACTTTATAGGTTATATCTCACCAATCCTGAACATAGAAGTTTTATGGAGTTGAAAGTTTTATATGATGATTATTGATAGAAATTAGCATATCTTTTGTATTTCCAACTAAGATATTATTGTCTGTTATTTTTTGAGAAGCCTTTACATATTTTTTTTGGTACACTTTTCACTGAAACAATAAATTGTACTTTTTTACTGTATTCATCGAAATCTGTTTTTTCTAATGTTTCCGAAGGTAATATAAAAAATGTTGACTTATTTACTGTATTTTCCAAGTAGATTTCGTGATGTAACAAAGTTTTATTGTATTGAATAAAGGATGAAAACTCATTATAACCCTACATATCCGTCTTGGACCGGAGAGAACTGGTTCATCAACTTCATTTGGGCAATAGTATCGTATGACCAGTTCTATGAATATTGAATAGATTCCACGTAACGCCTATCTTAATCGCCGTTCTCCTGCACACACAAACTTGGTAGTCAAATTGATCGAAATAGATGACGGAACGGAAACTATTTGAAATATCCGCACATATTTTAAAACACATTCCTATAATTTAAAACATAAAAGTATCATCATTGCGCGTTATGAATTCTTATCTTCAAGCGTTTATGCTAGTAAATTGGAACTGGTACTTAATATAAATTATTTAATATACAGTTAAAGCCACTATTGATTAATATTTATAGACCGTAAACTAGATATATTTTTTATCTCGCCAACAATAAACAGGTTTCCTTTTCGAAATAGGACGGTAAGTATTTTTTGGCTTGCTGTACATTTTAATTAATTTCTTATAAAATAAATTGTTTAATTTCGTTTCTTCCACATTAGCCCATAGGATCTCGGAACCATGAGGTTCTCCACAACTTCTCTGGGGAGTTCCGCGACTTCAAAATTTAGAAATTAACATTATCGATACTATAAAATTAAAAAAAATTTATACTCTTAAAACTTTTTATTTTTATAAGTACACGCGTATAAATAACTATAAAAGCTTAACGTACGTAGCGACAAAAACAACGTATCGCAATGCGCTTAATGCAGAGTTTGAAATCCGATTGCAACTTAACGACAATAACACCTGATTTCAACATATTATGTAAAAATATTCAAGCACATCCCAGTCATTGATTATACATACCATTTACTTTTTTTTTAATTCAAAAAATATTTACTTTAAAACTTAAACTTTAAAACTCTTATTTTAATTTTTACATAATGAAATATTTATTTTGTTAATCGTAGTATTTATAAATATAGTACTTTTAGATGTGGGGGTTCCTAAAAAAAATCGAAATGTTTTCTAGTTTCCGCAAGTCGTAAAAGTTTGAAGACCACTGGTCTAGATTATGCGTATACACATAGAGCTTTTAGCAAATGAAAAAATATAACATTTTACTGATAACAGTCACTCATTCCCATTTTATTTATTGGCCTTCAGTGACAATTCTGATTATTATAAAGATAATTGCGGCGGTATTAATAATAGAGCCTAATTTGGCTAATCCACCCAGTTATTTGTAAATATTTATAATTTCTTTTGAAAAGAAATAGTATAGTCTTTGGTTTTATAAGCTTATTGTTATAATATGTATTAAGTATTGCGTTATATATTCTAACATAAAAACGCTGCCACCAATATTTTCCCTTAAATAAGTTATTTTGACCACTTTTTGTTAATTTTTAATTTTTTGTTAACTAATTGTAAGAAAATTAATAACTAAAGAGTTATAACTATTAAATATACCGCAATGAGGTGATCTTATTGATTGTGAGTATAGTTGTTAAAAGGTCTCCACGAAGCGAAATAATTTTAGCATCTTTTTTTTAAACAATTATCCGACTTTGAACAAATTTATAGTAAATTAAAAATGGTCCTATTTGTTGAAAAATCTATGAAAAATATTTTCTCAATGGATTTTTTTTTATTCAAGTGCCTAAATATTACGATACGATAATGTTTTGAAATTTTTATATTAACATTTAATATAATAAAAAATTATGTCTTCGGTTTCGCGGCACCGTACGACGATAAAAGCCCTATTTTCAACATTAAATTAAAAGTATAAATAATGACTATAGAGATTCGGGAGTTGGATCATTTTTTTAGGAAATTTCCTCATTTAGGATTTTTTTTTCAAATTGACGTTAATATTTTCGAATTATTTGCAAAAAAACGAACCACTTTTCTTAATCTTTATTTATTTATAACTTTTGCAATTGTTTATGTGAGAATACGATTTTTATGCACATTTTTCTAGACGTCATCGTCATCCTAAATCGAAAAACCATCCCTTAAAAATGGTAAATCCTTTGGAAGTACACATTAGCAGTGTTCTTAAATCATTTTCAATAGGAATTATGAAATTCAAAAATTTCCGCATTAATGTTAATCGATTTTTTATGTCGCACTATTATCTGAATTTATCTTCTTATCAGATATAATTTATTTTCAAATACACATTTGTTTATGAAGAACCGTTTATTTTCTCGTAACGAACTAAACCACCATATAAAGATTATCAGCTTGGCTTCCTAATTTAACTTCTTTTGATTATGAAATCATTCAAGAATGGCTTATGAGCTTTTGAGTAATTGCTAGGAAAAACGGTAGCATAGAACTATCTAGTTTAATACAGGGTGCTCCTAAATTAGAAAAAGTAAGAGCACTTTTTTATATAGTAATTTTTTCCAAGAACAAACAGTCATGGAGGTAATTAAACCCATTCAAAGAGGGATGATGGATTTTTTATGATATTAATCGAATTAATTGAACCGTTTATTAAAAAATCCGGTTCGTAACATAAACTATGAAATGGGAGTAAAACTGCTAGGAACTTTCTATTACCAATAATGAAGTAATATTTTTTATTCTTATTTCAGGTCATCAACATTCAGTGAGCACTGAAGACATGCAGGAGCTGAGCAACACTGAAGACCAGGTGCAGGAACTTCAGCTAGAGTTCCTGGATGACGTCCACCAAGCTAACATGTTGCATTCGTTAAACATGATGAGAAAGAACCGGCATTTCTGTGATGTCATTCTTCACGTATGTGCCTGACTGTACAACCAACATATTTTACAAGTTCCAGATAATCATGGCGATTTTAATAATAATAAAAGATATTGCATTTGAAAAGCCAATCTACCCATACATAATGATTGTGATTATCTGAAACATTGTTAAAATTGTTTTGTTTACGGTCAGTTACACTACTGGGCAGCTCTCAAAATCATCATATTTGAATTTAAATGACCAGTAGTGAGTAGATTTTAAGTCCTTTTAAAGTAGTAATGTAGTTGTGTTACAAAAAACCTGGTGCTCCAACAGAATTATATTAGTTTATATTTAAAATGTATTTTCAAATTTTCAATTGTGTGTACTAATGTGAGTTTATTGGTGCAGTGGGTTATTAACATTTTCTTGCAGAAAATCTGATTTTTAGACCAAAATTAGGTAAAAAATTTTTCATTATTATTATACCGTTCTTTTCTGTAGAAAGGACGTTTTAATTTTTTCTGTTTTACAGAACATTACATGAAGTTAGGTGATGGTAATCTTATTTTTTTTTATTTTTTCTTTTTACTTCAGTGAAAATAAATCCGTAAACATGATAATTTTGAGCACAATTCCTTTACAATTGTTTTATTGTCGGTTTTGTTTCTCATATAGGCTGGTAATTTGGAAATACACGCCCATCGGGCTGTATTGGCGAGTGCTTCACCCTACCTCTTTGAACTGTTTACAACGGATCAAGATCAGAAAAGACCTGAGAATTCCCTCACATATAAGCTAAATGGTGGTTTCGATACAAGTGCGTTGCAGGTTCTAATCGATTATGCCTACACTGCAAAACTAATTGTTCCGTATTCTGAGGTAGGCAAATGTTCGTAACTCGTTATCTTACACCTAAAATACAATTAACTTATAGGTTAAGACTGTATTTTTGGTGGCCAACAGTTTGAAAATGGAACGAGTTACTAGAATTTGCGCTCAGCATTTAATAAAGCATCTGTCTGTTGATAATTGCATTGAAATCCGATCTCTGCCTGGCATTGCCAGAAATAAGGAATTCATTCAGCAAGTTGATGCATTTATCGGCAATGAGGTAAGAAGTAACCAGAAATCATTGTACACTATTACAGTTTTCAATATTCGTTTCAGTTTTCACAAATAAGCAAAACCAACAACGTTTTAAATCTCTATTGTGCTCGAATAGAAGTTCTCAATCAGTCTCGAGAGGAAATGTCCCTCGTGAACGAGAGCTCCTTATGCAGGCTAGTCCTAGAGTGGATTAAAAGACAAGTAAGCGAAGATAATCTAAACATGTCGGCTCTCTCTGAAAAAACATTCATGTTGTACCTTGCAATCGACAATTCCCTTCAAGATTGCTCTAGTCTCCCCTCCGGCGACATAAGCGATACTGAAATTGTACAAGACTACAAGAAACTTTCTCTGAAGGACAAACAAAGCAACACCAAACCCAAGAGGAAGGTGTTAGGTCAACCATCGAAACCGAGAGTGTTGATATATAACAGAGAAATCGGGGAGGAATTGGAGAGCGAGGTTGAACCAGACTGGAACCTAATAGCCTCAAATAGTGTCGGGGAACACAGCTTCTTGGCTCTCGTGACTCTGGGTGGCAAGTTGGCCACACTTTCCATACAATTAAGGTACGAGAGAAAATAACGTTTTAAAGCGAAGCAGTTTCCAATTGCCTCTATATACTTTTTAGACTGAATACTCCAACTACACCTTCCCCCATACAAACTCCAATAAATAGCAGGCCGGCTAGCGAGGAAAAACCCGATCTCTATTGTGCAGTTGCGAATATGTCTTCTCAAAGATGTGCTGTTGGCTGTGGAAACTTTCTTAACACCCTTATTGTCTGTGGTAAGTAACTAGAACTTCCTGCTAGTTTAAAAATTAAATTGCTCCTAATTTTGAACATTAGTATTTATTTTGTTTTGTTTTTTTTTTATCTATTTTTATATTTTTTACCAATGTTGTTTTGAAAATTTCCTGCCACTTAGCCATACCAATAAAAAAAAAAACAATTTTAAGGCCAGTCCTTATTTCCTCATCATCAATATAGGAACTTTGAATAGGTTTTAGCTGTTTTCCAACAGATGGCGCTACCAGAACTGCAAAAGTGTAGTTTAACATGGTAACGCACCTCCTACTTGCCTGAAATTCAGTGTATACTATTTTGCCGAAGTGTAAACAACTTTTTTTCATAAAGTTAAACATGTCAAATTTCATGCAGAAAAGAGTATTTGCGGAGAATTTTACTGCACTATTTTATTCAAAAGAATACTGCTAATGCCGAAGCTTATAGAATTCTTGTCGAGATTACAGCAACTATGAACTGTTGCAAACAACTTGCAGAAATTGGTTTAGATGGTTCAAAAATAATGATTTTGTACAGTACAGTATTGGGGGTTATGAAGGCTTGTAAAAAATGTAATAAAATTTCCAGGGTCATATTTAAAAAATGAAGCTGATGATGGGCCTGGAGAGACGAAACGTTACATATAAAAATTAATTAAGCCATTTGATAGAGGGCCATAAAGTTGGTATGAGAAAATGTTTTTCTTTTGTCAATATCACCTCGGACAAGGCTGAAATGAAACAAAAACGGATTTCCAAAATTTCGTTTTTTTTCAAATATTTCGAAAATTGATCATGTTAGCCTTGATTTTTTAGAGGCATAATATTGGTCCCCTGATTATACAACTTTACCCCCATTTAAGCTACTTCGTATCTCTTACCATTTCCGAGATCCCTGTATCCGCGACCCTTTTCAAGTGAGTGAAGATGTTTACCTATTTATTATTCGCAACGGGCTCCAAAACTGTTGTTTCCCTCTAGATATGTCTCTGCTCTTTTCAATGGCAAAAGTATTGTATACTTGAATGATCACACCCAATCAGAGTCACGTACATTAAATTCTTCCATGTTTTCAAAATAAACTTGGTCCATCGCAGACCTAGTATATATAAGATCGATACTTTAAACTGTAATTTGATAACTGACAGAAGTTGAGTCTGAAGTTTGTTAATATGAGAATTTACAGAGAGGTTAGGTGCCTAAATGAGTCCATAAGATACTGCCGTGCTAAAACTTTTTAATTTTTTTATTTTTCATTGGCTGCTGCAATCAAGGCGAGTGAAGTCATATGCCTTAAATTTTTAAACTATGAATTTTCTTTAATATTCTCTGGACAAAATATTGAAAAAAAAAACTGTAGACTTAATTTGTCCAGTACTGATGGTAGATTGAAATAGTAGTATTAATTTACAAATTATTTTTTCCTACCAGGCGGTTACGACAGAACCGAGTGTCTCCGATCCGTTGACCAGTACATTCCAGAAACGAACACTTGGCAAAGTCTGCCTCCTATGAGGGAAAGTAGGGGTCGTTTTAAAATTGCCGTGCTCGGCGACAAAGTTTATGCCATTGGGGGCAGTAACGGCACCACTGAACTGGATTCGGTAGAGATGCTAGATTTGGCTGCAGGAAAGTGGGTGAAGATGCCAAGACTGTCCTTGGCTAGGAGTAATATGGGAGTGTGCACTATGGACGGGTTAGTTTATTGTATAGGTGGGTGGAATGGACAAGTGGGAATTAAGCAAAGTGAAGTTTTTGATCCTGAGACTGCTACGTGGTCCCCTATTGCACCACTTCATACAGGTAAATACTTTTAATAATAAACCAAACAAAAAAATATATTTTATAAACGCTTCTAATTAGGAACTTTTTTCTTAGTTTTCGATTATGAATCTGTAGCGATAGCACGTTTTTTAAAACTACATCATATTTCTAAAATATTAAGAAAATATTCGGTAGAAACTTTTATATTTTATGTTCAGGTCGGTATCAGGCTGGCGTGGCTGCCTACAACAAATTGGTCTACGCCATTGGAGGCTGCGATGCTTGGAATTGCTTAAATTCGGTAGAGGTGTACAATCCCGAAGAAAACAATTGGCAGCCCTCGAAATCCATCATCACGGCTAGGAGGGGGTGCGGCGTTGCAGTATTTAATAACAAACTATACGTTGTTGGAGGTTCAGACGGCTCTCATTCTCTAAGTTCTACTGAAATTTTTGACGAACAGACCCAGACATGGAATGTCGGTCCGAGCATGACAACTCCTAGGGCTAACGTGGAAGTGGCCGTGGTGGGAGACCGGTTGTATGCCGTTGGCGGATTCTCAGGTATTTTTAAGCATTCTTATCCTAATTCGCACATATCATTTCAGTGATGGGCATTTTTTTGTCAGTTAATGAGTCGATACTAAATCTAAACTAAAGATTGAATGATTGAATATTAGTTTCGTATCTAATCCCGGGTGGGGCCATTTATCTTCACAGAGAGACAAAATAATATCTCGGTTGGACTCGATTATTCCGAAAAAACTTTCAGACACGAATTTCAATTGAAAAACGAAAAAAACACATTTCTTATTATTTTTTTGATTTAACCCATATTTTGGTCATAAAAAAAACAAAAAAAGAAACAAGAATCGAGATAACGGATTACCTTGTTGGGATCACTTTTTTTTAAATGTTCATACAAAAGTTATAGGGTGAAAAATGGGCTATCTTGACATGACCTTGAAAATGACCTTGACTTCAAGGTCGTTTGAAGATCAAATTCAAAATTTTAAATGGGACCCTCTTTTGACCTCGGAAGTTTTAAATGTTTCATACAAAAGTTGTAGGGTGAAAAAGGGGCTATCTGGACATGATCTTGAAAATTACCTTGATTTCAAGGTCATTTGAAGATCAAATTCAAAATTTTAAATGGACCTTCTTTTTTGACCTCGGAAATTACAAAAGCGGGGAGTTTTACAATAAGATATGAACTTAATAAGATATGTTTTCGGTGAAATGTAGAATTTCTTCAGATTTCTGAAGATTTTTATGATTTGCTGAAGTATGTAGGAGCAATTCAAGGTCAAGCTCATTTTCAAGGTCATGTCAAGGTAGCACAATCTTTTTTTAAAAAGTGATCCCAACAAGATATTCCGCTGTCTCAACAATCTTGTTTTTTTTTTTTGTTTTTTATGGTCAAAATAAACTTAAATCGAAAAAATAATAGCGAAAAATATTTTTTTCGTTTTTCAATAGAAATCAGTGGTAAAAAATGGGCGTTTCCATTAAAAAAAATCAACTTCCGGTCTAAAAACACCACTTCCGGTCTATACCGAAAGTCGTAATAGGGACCTTTCAAAGGCCTCCTCCCTACAAACTTTGTCTGAAATTTTTTTCGAAATGATAATCAAGTTCAACCGAGATATTATTTTGTCTCAAGATAAATGCCCCTCCCGGTATATCTGTATTTATTTGAATAGATAAATAAAATACATTAACATTATCTGTATCTATATTGCTCATTCGTGATTATTCTGTACAGGGTGATTCATAATTCTCATTTCATGTGAAGATTGCTTTTTATATTTCGGGTATAGACTGTGTGTAACTTTATTGCTTTTCAAAATATTCTCCAACAAAATCAGTACACTTTTGCATACATTTGAACCAATTTTTAAAGCAATTTTTCCATTCCAATTGAGGTACTTCTAAAACTTGAATTTAGAATGCATCAACCGCTTCTTCAAACATTTATTTTCCATGTGCGGAAATGAAAAGTCATTGGGTGCCAAATCAGGGCAGATGACTCATCAATTCGACTTTTTCAGTTCAAAAATGTCTCTTGTTTGAGTTGATGTGTGAGAGCTCTATCTTGGTGGAGAATAATGCATCTTCAGTGGTTGGTTTCCCTCATTTTTCTGAGGACTTCTGGCAAATAAATGTCCAACCATTGTACTAATGGTACAATTGCCACATGTCTGATTTTTCTAAAAAAAGATAGGCGACAATTTACTTAAAAGTGCTCCGTGCACGGACAACCTTTGATGGATTTAGCTCATCTTGAAAGACCCATACAGTCGACTGCTGTTTACTTTCGGACTCATTCGCATAAATCCATGATGTAACCTGCTACGATGTAATAGACATGTTTTAAAGCACCACGATCGTATATCTTAAGTATTTATTTCGACCAATCGACTACATCCAGTATTAAATTCTGTATACCACTGATATACAGTGGTTTTTCATGGTGCTTCTTCGCCAAAAGTTGAATTAAGTTTATATATGCACTGTTGTTGAAATCTTCTTCTTTTTCTTTTCTGGTGGTTGGTACCATGTCACCACAGCCTAATTAGGCCTATTGTGTGTCCCACTATTAGTCCTATTCAGCAAGTAGTTTTGTCCTTTTGATAAAGTCCAAAAGCTTCCTTGCTGACACTTCTCTATGTTCCTTGGGTTCCAAATAAGGTGACCTCAGGAGCATCATTCCACTACGTGCAAATCCCGGGCACTCGTCCAGGATATGCAGAGACTGGACTGTCTACAAGCTTTAGCTTGTGTAGATGTTTTCTAAAGTGACAGTGTCCCGTTATGAGCCTCGTCACTCTCCTGAGCTGGATTTCATTCAAGCTCAGTAAATCGTTTGCTCTTTCCTTCGAAGGATACTCCATGAGCTCCTTAGAATGGCTATGTCCAGGCCTTGAAGTCCAGTATTTCCTATGTTCTGCCTCAGTCCATTTGCCCAGACCTCGCCGTTGTTGAAATAATCCACGTCGAAAGTTGTAAAAAATAATTACACGGAAATGTTCACGACTTAATTATATTTTTTGGCCAAAATGAATTTTTCATGTTACTGTAAACAACAGAAATAGCGCCTGTACGTCAAACCGTTCCGAGTAAGCATAATGACAAAAAGTTGAACTTTACAATAGGGACGTTGTTGTCAGATAGCCGCACCAGGATCGTCCATTCCCAAAATATAAAAGGCAACAATCGTAGTATCTGTGTCTAATTGCTTATTTATGAGGAACTGTGACTTCTTTGCTATTAAAGTGTTTCAGTGGGATAAAATGTAGTATTTGTAAAATGACTTGCGGAATCAAAATATGAGACAAAAACAACTTAAAATGTATTTAAAAAGATAGACCCAAAAACCAATTTTACAAGTTTCAGGTAGTATTTTTTAATACTTGTAAATGTAACTATGTATTTGAGCTTGATCGGCGTAATAGGTTATTTTGTAGAATGTCTAGAAAAACCACTTTAAAATTTATATAGGTACAATTTTTTAAAAAATAGCCTCACCCTTAATTAGTGATGCCTGCTGCATACATTACGCAATCGGCTTCTTCAAATGTATAGTCTTCTTCTAATCTTGCATTCCTAATGGCCACCCTGTGCTCCTTAGAAGCTTCCGTGATGTGTTTATCGGCAACTTTACGCTTGACACGCTAGCGCATCCCTACTCTTGTCGCAGTTTTCAACATGTACTCGAATTTTCCAACCTAAATAATGATCTCTATAGTATTTTTACGTATATTTATGACAGGAATCTGCAGTATTTTGAAAATCTATTTTTTTTTTGAAAAAAGATTCCAAAATAATGCCTCAAACACTTTTCTGTAAAAATCTGCAAATACAAGTATTTTATTCCAACTTTTTTGGTGACATTGATATTATTTTTTACTGGCACATGTATCTCCAATTTTATTTAGATTAGTTGTGAATTACCCTGTATATGACAAATATAAAATAACTTCCATGACTGTAATTTAAAAAGAGCAGAACATTTTTTTCATATTAGTATTTGTCACTCGCTGTCCTTTTTGGGATTATTTATCAGAGTATGTAAAACATTTTTTGCAGGTAAAACATTCTTAAACACCATCGAGTACTTGGACTCCAAGTCTAACGAATGGACTACTTTCGTACCAAAAGGAAGTTGTGACTCTCTGATAAAGCGAAAACCTCGAAGCCGCAGAAATTCGAGGAAAAGCGTATCAGAGGAGAAAAAGTCTGTGAACACTCCGGAGGAGATAACGGAGATAGCTACGCAAGCTTTAGAAATCGGGACCACACAACACGGGACCGTGGAGATATCATAACCATTCGGTTGTGTGCTGATATAGGTGTTATTTATGTATTGCTCTAGATCGTAAGGTATAACAATAAAATTTAAATCAAGTATTATATCCATGTTATGCTGGAGTAGTTTCGGCGTCACCATTTCATCTTTGACTCTGAATTTTAAGTACGTCAACAAACAATTTGGTGGCCATGTAATTTAAAAATAAACATTCTTTGTTTTGTTAAAATTAGTTGATTGAATTAAGCAGAAAGGAATTTAAACTAGTAGTTTTTCTTAAAATATTAACACTTGGCAATAATTGATGTAATAATTTATTAATGGAGACATGAAGTCGGTGGGCAAATATATTTGCTTTTAAGATGCAGACGAGTTGAAAATGAAAAATGAGCCAATGTGTAATAAAGTACTAAGCCTTATTTTTTAATTTAGCTCATTTGCCCACCAATCAAACTTGACGTGCTACTAATATAATTTTTTTTGATACAAACATTGAAATTGTTTATTTTACATTTCAACGCATTAACAATTAATATTTTCTATTTATAATTATCGTAATTGTATGTAATAAAATTAATTATTACAAAGAATTTAAAAAATTGTATCGCTGCAACGAGAGAAATTTTGATTAAAATCTTTTTTATCAATTTCATAGATTTTCTGCAAAAGATACAAGAATTTTTATTAGATATTTTGTAGGGTAACATTCCTATTGAAAAAAAGACAGTAAAAAGCTTCGAATATAATTAAAAATTTATAGGAGATTGGAAGTTTTATTTGCCATTTTTTAAATACAAATATAAATCTGTAAAGATTGTTGCAAAATTAATCAGGAACGGAAATGGGGCCGAGGGAAAAATTTTATGTAGACACGAAAATTAGGCACGGAGTATTAACAACAATGAGGAGTCTCTCAAGATTAAACTTTTCTAAAGTTGTGTGGGTGCCTGATGCCACCCGGACCGGTCTAACAGTTGCAAGGACAAAAAACAGACACAGGACGCAACAGGGTTCCAGAAAAGGTTCACGGCAGATTGGCGCCAAGAACCAGATACCTACGAACGACTGCACACCACGAGGACTCTCCAGCAAACGCTCGCCCCGACAACACTTCCTTTTCAATAACTTGTTTTCAATAAAAATACTTTCATTTTTCCATCGATGCGTTATGTGAAATAAAAACCACTCTAGTTGCACAAATCGCGTACTTTCACTGAGTGACAGTTGAAAAATCACGTCGGTTGAAAAAATCACGTCAGTTGAAACAAATACGTTGTTTGAAACAATTACGTCGCTGTCGCCACTTGACGGTTGCTTTCGGTGTGCAGCAAATAAAACTCGCTCTCAACGGAAAAATAAAAGTTAGTGATAAGGAAGTGTAGTCGGTGCGAGCGTTCGCTGGAGAGTCCTCATGGTGTGGAGTCGCTCGCAGGTTTAATATCTGGTCCTTGGCGCCAATCTGCCGTGGACTTTTTTTGGAACCCTGTTGCGTCCCACGTCTCTTTTTTGTCCTTGCAACTGTTAGATCAGTCCGAGTGGCGTCAGGCTGGCGCTCTTGACGTAATACTTAAAACGGGTCACTTGCAGACATGTGCACCCACATTTATTTAATTTTTCCAGTTTTGTTTTTCTATTATATTTTGCCACCTGTAAAAAAAAGATAGAAAGCAATTAAAGAATCTTTGGCTAACCAAAAATCTTACACTGAAAAGCAGACAATTGAAAAAATTTCACTCATTTTTTGACGAATTTTTTGAAAATATATTCCAGTTTTTTATTTCTCTTCAACTGACAAATTCGTATGGTCCCACTGGAGTCCATCCAAGATAGATTCCACTATAAGTAATATTTATTCTATTATTACACAATACTTTTAATATTTGCAACCAAGTGTTCAGGTGCATAGAAAAGTTCAACACACTTTCTCCGTTTAATAGAACAGTCACGGTTTCTTTTAATTTTATTTCATCATTGGTATTTTCCTTTTCTAAATGAAATATAAACTGTCAAATTCATTTAAAAAGAAACATCGGTTGTAGGTTTGAAAACAGAAGTTGAAAGTTTCTATTGTGCAGGTAGCGTTATAAAATTTATAAATCAACGTCTAGTAAACACAACCTCAAAATGTAAGTAGCAGAAAAGTATCCAGTATTCACAATAAATTTATTTCACTCAAACGATAGGGAAGGTAGAAAGGTATTGTCTACTAGAACAATACCGCAACTATTTAAAGGAGAGCGCAAGCAGGATTGTGTGCAATTGCCAAATGCTACTGATTGCGACCGCCTAATGCGTTCTCTCTTTATTTGTACAGTTTACATCCAGTTGTCATTCCTAGTTAATTTTGCAACAGCTTTAGAAAACTACCACATCTGTCAACCACGCTGCTATCTACTACTGAAAGATATTGCTCTGGCCTTTTCTTCCTCTAGGTGTTAGACTGTAAAACACAAAAATAGCTTGGTGCTGGCGCCGCTATTCTACTAATTATTTATTTATGTTAGGGTGTATACCAATCTGGAAATATGAGGGGATTTCTCAAATTTACCTAATTTTTTTTTTAAATTTCAGTTGTAATCTTTATTTATGAGTACTGCCATTAATCACGAAATTATTCTGTTAGTATTGGTATTTTTATCTTTATTGTACACAAGGTGTCTCAAATTGCATAAACTAAACTTTATCTGGTGACAGAACTCTTCAGAATGAAAAAAGTTCTCATAAACATCAGTTCGAAAAATGCTTAATTTCCATGTTTCGGTGTTTCAAGTTCAATATATTCAAAATAAACACGAAAATTTACAGATATTTCACTTTTTATCTTTTATAAATCAAAATTGGGTCTAAGTAAAATATTGCGTTATTTTTCTTTGAGTGATATTTCTCCATGGATATTGAAGAATCAAACTTTGAATTTTTTAAACAATTCTGCGTTATCTTCTAAATTATCCATTTTCAAGTACAAATGATTTATAATATGTTCGTTGTTTACGTGGAGTAAATAAAATTTAAGGGGACATATATAATTAGGCGGAGGAAAATGAGTTGATTTTGAGGAAATTTTTAAACTAAGAAATATTCATTCTACATTCATCGGACTGTAGGTGTGCTCTAATAGGATATTCAAGTATAAAAAATTAATTTTTTGAATTCATCGTCAAAATGGCGGAGCTGTGGTAGAGTCACAGCAAGGTTCCGGCGCGACTTCCAAAACGTTGTACAGCCTAAATACAAAAATTTTCTTATTTAAAACACGCGGTTTATATGTGACGTTGAACAAAATGGAAAAAATGCAAATTTGAAAAAACGGCATGCCATTAAAGACAAAAATCGAATTTTCATGCGAAATTTCTGCAGAATTTGTATAAAAAAATAGTTTTTTCAAAATTTTCCAAAATCAATTTCCGTCATAGAAGGAATGTTATCAACATTTCTACCAAGAGGGAACTCGATCGGTTCAATAGTTTTTGCGTAATCATATACACCAGTTTCAGAAATGTAGTTTCGAGAAAAACGCGTTTAAAGTTTTGACACGTGTAGAACCAGGATAAAACGGCAACTATAAACCGTAACCAAACTGGGGCAGCTATTTTCTGAAACTCCTCGGAAAACGGTTATTTCTCCTACAAACATTTGGTCGACGAGTATACCCCTGTGCGCTCTTGCTTCTACCTGTAGCGTGCACTCCGAAGCCAAGCGGATATGCACAACATTTATGGGCTGTAACTTCCAGAGTTTTTCGAATTTCGCTTTCAAACTCAAAATATATTCTTCACATACAGTTCTATCGTTTAAGAATATAAAAAAATCGATTTTCTGATCGTTGTAACTGTATATGTCCCCTTAATTACAGTATTCCTTATTAAATAATATGACATATTTTTGTGTAAACATGGAGAAAAATGTTGCCCAAGCTGATTGCCCTGAGTGATTCTAATTGGCAGTAATTACTATTTTTTCTTGTATAACGTATAAACATTTAAATATTTATGTGAAAGACGTGCAAGAAAGAGTGACCGCAAAAAACCTGTGATTTTTGCCCGTTTTTTCACAATTCGCAGAGAATTATAAAAATACATAAAAATATGTTTTTGGTCGCAAATTAGTTGTAAAAAACTGAAATGAGCATAGCTTTTAGTATTTTGAAAATTTAGAAAGTCACCCCTACTTAGGGGTTGAAAAAATGCTAAAAATGAAGAATTTGAATATTACCAATTGATATAAAAACTATTAGCATGTGAATTATCTTAATATATCTTTTTTGGAATTTTTACAATTATTTCTGATATTCTCTATTTTTGGGGATGATTCCATCCCTTGAGCGTGCTTAAGGGTGGATTTTCTTATGCATGCTGACATGCTTATTTCAGTCAGAAAATAAATCTTTGTATCAAGAATCATTCGATAGAAAAATTCACATGCTAATAGTTTTTATATTTATTGGTAATATTCAATTCTTCATTTTGGGAGTCTTTCCAACTCCTAAATAGGGGTGATTTTTGAAAATTTTCAAAAAACTAAATGCTATGGTCATCTTAATTTTTTACGAGTAATTTGAGACTAAAAACATATTTTTATCTATTTTCTTTAGTTCTCTGCGAATTGTGCAAAAACGGCCGATTTTTGCGGTCACTCTGGGAGGTGATTGAAAAATGAGAACTAATTTAGAGAATATATTTTTGCCTGGAAAATTTTTCAAATCCACCTGGAAAACGCTGAATTATTGAGAAATCTTTGTTCAAAATGTGAAATACACCCTGGGTTAAGTATTTTTTATGTGCGCAAAGTTCTGTTCATTTTCATTTAATTATTTATTTTCCGTTTGGAAAACCATTTTCATTATATAAATTATTGTATAATACGCAATTTCAAAGAGTTTAGCAATTGCTAAAATCAATTTCGTGAGTCCAACCTAAAGGAAGAAAATTGGAATTAATAATTTTACGTATGTCTAAAGGTCTAAATCTAAATAAAATTATTTAGTATTTATATAAGAATTCTAAGGAAAATTTGCATTCAGTTTTGTTGCAAAATATACAGTATTAAGAAACATACTTTCTCTCTAAACACTCCTTCGATATTACATTTATTGTTTATTATGCTGTCGTTTCAAAAATAAAAGTTAAATTATAAAAAAATTATTACTACAGATCTTATCCGTTTGTCTCCAAGTCTCTTTTATCTTAAACAAGGCCATTCTTCAAATCACTAGAAAATATTGTTGATCCTTCTGAAACATATATTGCTTATTAAATAAGTGATCGTTATTATGTAATTTAGAAGTAGGAGATAGATTTAGGTGTAATTTAATTTGCTCATTACCGTGTAACCGTCACCATAATAAGGAAACAGTTTTATATGGATTATATATGAAAATATATTTTAAATACTCTTTTTCACTTGCAATAAAAAGAATTATATAACAATAATGAAGTATTAACTACATTCTTTGTAAACCTAATATTTTATGGAGTGTTGTTAGCAAGATGTTTGTGATTGATGAAACGTGTGTCTGGTTGGATATTTAATAAATACCCCATGATTACTTTTTGTATGGCCTAGAAGTATTTTAGTTTTCCCTATACAATAAGAATATTTGTATTTTGCCATATCTTATTAATGATAATCTATGGTTATTGGATAAAATAAATGTATTATTTATAAACCTGATTATTTTTTTTCCTTAAGGATGTGTCATTTTTTAAGTAGGTATTCTTAATCATAAAATAAGACTACCGTGGTTATTATTATACAGGGTGTCCTACTAAGGTCGTTGCGGTATAATATTATGAAAAGTATAGGCCCTAGAACACCGGGAAAAAGATTTTGATTAATAAATCAAACAAGAGAAATCAATTGCTGGAAATAGTTTTCAAGTTCAAGTACATACCAAAACATAGAGTTGAATTTTTCTCAGAAATGTGTCCTATTCAGGCATTAAATAGTACAAATATGGATAGCCGCATATATTACGCATAACTTTTGTTATTGACATTTTGTTCTCTCTCGACAGAAAGGGTGGGGGAAGCACCTAATGTCTGATCAGAAAAATGCATTTTTCAAATATTGGCTAATCAAAAGCCCATAGTGTTATACCTCGTTGGAAAGGTCTTTTAATACTTTATCTCGTAGTGAATGCGTAATGTCATTTATCTCAATATGGAAACATATAGATGGCGTTATTTCAAAAGAATGGATTTTTCTCAAAAATTTTAAATGCAATGCTATAGTTTTCTTTACATAAATGAATTCAGCACAAAAAATTGATGAATATAGGATAAATTTGAAATTTCTAACGAAAGTGTTGTTTATGTATTAGCGCGCTATTTATCGAAGTTTAGGTTGTTTCATGTTTTCTTTAAAACGTGAAATAGCAGAATAAAACTTTTTATAACTTAGTTTGAAGACCATAAAAATAGCTATATTATGACGCCAAAAAGTGTTGGATATCTTTTTTTTATCAAGTTATTCGCAAATTAGTGAGCAAAAAATAAATAATTATAATGAGGTACACGACACTAACGAAAAGACATTTAATTATCAAAACAAAATGTGTTGATAAAAGAACCTACCTACCTAAGCACGCAGCGAAGGTTAAATTCCTGCACTGAAAATAAGGGAATGCATTTCGAGCATTTATAAACATTTTTACTTTTGTTAAAATTTAATTGTTCTTTCGTTACATAATATCAATTCTGTTTGTTATTGTTTTTGTTGTTATTTCCAAGTTTGATATTGACTAATTTATTTGCGTGGGTTTATGTAGGTTCTTTTATATAACATCACAATTCATTTATGTAAAGAAAACTACAGCATTGCATTTAAAATTTTTGAGAAAAATCCATAAAATGGCATTCTTTTGAAATAACGCCATCTATAGGTTTTCATATTGAGGTAAATGATATTATACATTCACTACGAGATAAAGCATGAAAATACCATTCCAATGAGGTATAACACTATGGGCTTTTGATGAGCCAGTCCTTAAAAAAATGCATTTTTCTGATCAGACCCATTCCGTTGAGAGATAGAACAAAATGTCAATAACAAAAGTTATGCACAATGAATCTGACTATCCATATTTGTACTATTTGATATACCTGAATAGGAACTTCTGAGAAAAATTCAACTCTATATTTTGGTATGTAGATAGCGCCCCTTAGCGGACGAGCTACGAACTTGAACACTATTTCCAGCGATTTCTCTTGGTAGATTTATGAATCAAAATTTTTTCTCCCGAAACTCTAGGACCTATAATTTCTCTAATACCATACCCTGCCGACCTTACTGGAACACCCTGTATATATTAAAATGTAACTCTGCAGGTTTACAGGGTGTTCCTATATACGCGAATATTTAAGGGTGTGATTCTACATGGAAAATTAATGATCGATAGTTTGCTTTATAAACTATAGTCCAAAAATGTTCCGTTACGAAAATATGAGTGTTAAAATTTTAGGAAGAAGAAGGAAATTAATTAATGTTTTCGGAACTGCTTAAGATATTTCAGTGATATTTAGTAAGTAGTGATAGTTAATAAAGGCACATATTTTTCAATACAAACATAATTTTTAGCTCTGACAGGGGCATGCGTACGAGCACTGACTGATATTTTTAAAGAAAAATGGTTTATGGTAATGGTTTTTTTCCAAAATAAATTATTTTTGAAATCCACATTCAATTTGAAACATAAGAGCTCTCATGAGTTTATATCCCGCGATGTGCCATTTTTGAGTAAAAAAAATAAAACCCGTTGTATCGTCACATGCATCTCTACATTTTGAAGTAAATCAAGCATTTCAAAAATAATTAATTTCCTCCTTCCTAAAATTTTCGTAACGGAACAATTTTGGACCATATTTTATAATGTGAATTTTAAAATATTTGTGATACTGTTTTTAAACTGAGACTATTTTTTAAGTGGGGAGATGTACACAATTGCAGTCCGAGACCATTAAAAGATATTGTTAGTTTCCATGATATAAAAAAGAAGTTAAAGAATATTACAATAAAGTTTAAGATTTCATCAATATATTTTAAATTATTTCTATCACGCGAGCTCGCTGTGGGACCTATAGTGTAGGGGGTTAGGTGCACGGAAAGTGCTAGATAGTACAACAGCGTCATGTGATGAAAATAACATCATGCTGTTGTACTATCTAGCACTTTCCGTGCACCTAACCCCCTATGCTATAGGTCCCATAACGACTCCCACTTGTGATAGAAAATAGTATGTGCAACTCGTTCGGAAAAGTTGCCATAGCGCCATTTGGGCGCTTTCCGCACTCGCTTCGCTCGTGCGTCAACTGCGTCCGCGTGGCGCTAATCGCTATTGGCAACTTTTCCCCACTCGTTACACAATGTACTATAATGACACTGTTTCTTTATCTGCTTGACTGCTTCATCTTAATATTAAATATGTGTTACTTTCTTTAACTATTTAAAAAATAAATTAAATAATAAAATATTATACAAATATCTATTTTACTTTCTGGTCATTTATTATTAATTTTGTGTGCATTTTAGTTAAAACATTAAAATAAAAGATATTTATAACTAGAAGAGTCAAAGAGTTCATACAATAAGTTTTTAAAAACGTGAAAAATATAGTACAGAGCCTTATTTATAAATGATTACAAGCCATGTGATGACCGCCGGGCTTAGGCAACCCAACATTACACAATTGATACTGGGTAACAAAAATTCCCTAAATCTTGACATCACTAATATCATTTACAAAAATGCTCGAGTAGAGATAATGCGATTGCCGATTGGTTGAATAGTATCTCGTGAAAAATTACACCAATCACAGCTGATGAAACAGAACCTTATGTTTTAATGTAACTTGGACTTACTATTTGAATAATTTTTAATTATACCTAAATTTAATGACCAACATATGAAGGAAATAAATAAATTACTGTTTCAAACAAAATTACTGGTCACGTGGCTTGTAATTATTTATGAAGGCTCTGTAACATCTACAACATATAGGTATGAATAACCGATTTGTTAATCACCTCTGCAGTGATTTTGCTATTCGTCAATAGATGTCGCCTACTTTGGAAATTTTTCTTCAAAGCCGACATGATCTAGCTGATTATGTCCAGACCAAAATAGTATTCTATATTTTGTTATGTATATGTTTTGTGAGCTATATACTCAAGAATATTATCTAGAAGAGACAGGCAGCCCATTTTCCGCTGAGGTTTCCCATATGCGCCCTTTTCTAATTTTTATTAAAAAAATTAATATTGTGATCGGTTTTTTTATATAAAACGTAGAGGTAGATCTATATCGTAAAAAAAAATCCATAAAGCTATCTCTACCCTACATCATATAAGAAAAATGCATGGGGAAAACCCTAAGCAAAGCGGAATAAGTGATAAGTGGACTATGCGTGTCCTAGACTTTTGTGTCATTGCCCAAGTATATCAATAATCTTATCTTTTGAAGAAGAAGAAGGAGACTTAATAAATGGCATCATCTTTTTTTTGTTTTGTGATTTGTGATTCCATGATTGGCATTGGCAAATGGCAATTAGCATCTAATGGCAGGTTCATTCATTCAGTTTGGTTTGTTGTCAATATTTACATGAAAATATACAAGAAATGTAACAAATAATGGCAAATCACTACGAAGTTCCAAACTGGTACTTTTTTTAATTTTTAATATGAAAAACACGTGTCATAACTTTTTTAAGGTATTGTTGTTTGTGGTTATGTTTATTTAATAATTTTAGGGCTGGCAAACCACCCGTTGGTTTACATTTAGACGTATTAAAAGGGGAAAAATTAATTCAAAAATTGATGATAGATGAGAAAAAATGTTATTTGTTCGGAAGGAATGCCCAGATGAATGATTTCTGCATTGATCATGCTTCGTGTTCAAGAGTTCATTCTGCATTTGTCTGGCACAAACATTTAAACAGAGCATTTTTGGTAGACCTCGGTAGTAGTAAGTATCTTATAATTGTAATTTTTTGTAAATATAATATGCTTTTCAATTTATAAAGCTCATGGTACATTTATCGGAACACTGCGTTTAGAAGCATATAAGCCAACCCAATTGCCAATTGATTCCAGCTTTCATTTTGGAGCATCAACCAGAAACTATATAATTCGTGAGAGACCCCAAACAGGTATAAGGCCTATTATAGATGAAATCGAAAAAGCTGGAGAGGAAACCGAAGGCGGCTTGCTGGGTTTACCTGAAACAGAAACTGAACTCGACGTAAGTACTTTGTAACAAATATAGACAACCTTTTGAACTCCAGAGTTTTAGAATTTAACAGAATTTAACACGGCACATAACAGAAGGATATCAATGTTGGGAATATCAGATGATAGTGAGAAAAGAAATACAAATAGGAAGAGGAAAAGACATTGTGTTTCTTTCAATGAAGATGAAGAAATTATTAACCCAGAGGACATAGATCCAAGTGTTGGCAGGTTTAGAAACCTTATACAGACAACAATTGTACCCACATCTTCAAAGAGAGCTAAAATAGCGGAAAGCATAGGCATACAAAACACTGAATTTAAAATTCCTAAGAGTGTACACACTTCTCATGCAACTACTCCTGATCTCTATAACGATCTGCCCCCTGAATCACATTCAACTAATACTGGTACAAGCAATATGAGCATATACAGTACACTTAGTTCGCGTTTGGGTATGGTATTGCCGAATCCGGCGCCTGATGTAGACATTGGACAAAATTTCCCAACTCCCACACCTTTTGTACCTCCACAAGTTCAAACATCAGATTCTATGGAACCAAAGAAAAAGAAATATGCGAAAGAAGCATGGCCGGGGAAAAAGCCTATTCAGACTTTATTGGTTTAAAACAGTATAATAAGATAAGTATCAATTTGTTGTATATCATCAAGTGTTGAAATAATTTATTTTAAATGATTTTTAAAATGATCTAGATGAATTTTTAATATGTGAGGATGTAAAAAAGTTAATACAAGAAAATATATTATTTTCTAGTTGTTAAATATTAATTTTGACATCTACCAAAATGTAGAAGAGATACAATTGACAGTTTGAAACGTACATAGATTTTTATAGAATAATTATTGGTGGAACCATCTTTAATTTTATACAAAATTAACCAAACCACACTTTTTACTGTATCTCATGTGCCGAATTTTAAAGCAGAAAATTATGTATAGAAATACTTGCTCAAGAAGAATTTTTCTAGACACTCAGTTATAATGGTATAAACTTAAGATTTAATTTGTGTACCATAGAATTACTTATTTTATTTATAATTTCAAATAAAAGAGGCATAACATATCAAAATTGATTTTATTACCCTTATCTATCTTTTATCTATGATAATTTAAAATTTAATTTTCTTAAAAGCCACAATTTTTGAATCCAAAATGTAATTCAGGAAATCTTCACAAAAATCGGTTAAGCCAGGCTTATGTTTGAATTGGTGATTCTCAAATGTAAATGTTACCTGAAAATAAAAATGAATGCTTGAATTCCTCGGTTAAATTCGTATATACAGGGTGTCCCTCAATAGGTGTTACAATCTATAACATCTTAAAGCCGTTATTTTCTTTTATTACAGAAAAATAAGCCGATAGCTATCTCTTTCACACACAAGCGGTAGCAGAACTGCTTCAGTGACTTTTTCCAGTTTATTTACTTATATTTTAATTGTTTATTGTTGTTTATTATCAATTTTAGTAATCCCTAGCATTATTTGTATTATGTGGTTTTGTAAATAAACTTATTATTATTATTAAAAATTAGAAAAAAATTGTAAGTAAACCAACCGAATTCTTTTCATTAATTATTGTTCTGTTTCAGTTGCAAAATATCATAGAAATTGTATTCACGGTGTTCCATGGATATAAAATAAATTCAAAATATCTTCATTAGAATAATCATTTTGCATTTTTCTTGTCAAGCAATATTTGATACTTGTAGAATACTGAATGAATCAATTTGCCATTCACGGCACATTTGGCGATATTTTTAAAATAATATTTTTGAGACTAAGTAAACTGCAAATATCTGAGAAAATTGAAACTAACCCCTACAATGCCTATATCGGTGAAAAGAGAATTTGTTTTTTTTTATAATATGATGCAGAAAAATGGTGTTCCATTTGAATTTAAAAAGTTTTGTCGGTATTAAGTTCTCAAAATGTAACATGATAAATGGGACACTTAGTATAATTTTCGTCAAGTAATTTTGATAGCGGAAGGTAGTGCATTTTATGTTCTTTGTGTACTCACTCCCAAAAACAAGTGAAAGCTCCCAGAACGAAGAAAGATAGATATGAGGAATTTTCGAAACGCTTGCATATGTCAAAATTTTTATAAAAAGTCGATTATCTCGAAAACGGTTAGATCTAGGTGAAGAGAAGCTTTAACATTTTTGACTTATTTTTAATTTATCTTGTCGATAATGCAATAATATATAGGGTGTTTCATTTAAAATAACAAAGTTGACGACTACTTCCGGTATAACATTGATGGCATTATTTTCATTGAACAGAAGATATCTGATAACCCTCGTAAACAAAATTTCATTATCTTTGGATTATCTGAAGAGTTCTCTTTGCTGTTAAAATTTGTGTATCCAATAGGCTGCATTTCTAAGTACAGAATACACAGTCAGTGAATATAATTACAAATTAACAATGGAGTAATAAACAAAAAAATTGACAAACATATGCAATAAAATTAAAAAAAAATGGAAAATGGATTTTCGTTAAAAATAAAAAAGAACTTGTGCAACTGACCATGAAGAAAAATGTTTTGTATTGTACAGGGTATCGCACTTAAATATGATACAAGCCTGTAACTTCTTTATTTTTTTGCCGATTTCAAAAATTGTTATTTGGAAATCTAGGATAAAAAAAAACTATTTAACTGTGATACTGCTGTTTTTATTAATGCAATTCACGGCCAACTAGGACGCGTTTTCTTGACATCAAGACAGCTTATTGGTATTAGTGATTTTTTTTCCAAAAAACATATTACATATTCTCGTTCAGCATCCGTCTTACAACCAACTTTCATCAAAATTGATACATCTTCAGGTGAAAAAATACTCTATCTGACTGTGATACTGCTGTTTTTTATTAATGCAATACACGACAAACTTGTGCTCGTCTGAAGGTGTATCAAATTTGATGAAATTGGTGATAAGACATTTTAAGGGATGAGAATATGTAATCTGTTTTTTGGAAAAAAAAAATCGCTAATACCAATTATCTGTTTTGACGTCAAAAAACGCGTCCTAGTTGGCCGTGAATTGCATTAATAAAAACAGCAGCATTACAGTTAGACACAGTTTTTTTTATCATACATTCTAAAAAAAAAATTGAAATCAGTCAAAAAACAAAGAAGCTACAGGTTTGTATCACATTTAAGCGCGACACCCTGTATATGTATGTCTTTTCTGATATCTCAACATTGCCACCTCCATTTAAATTTATTATTTTGCAAATTTTTTTGCCACATTCACTATCAAAATACAAATTTTCGCTTGCTGTCACTTGTTCATATTAAAATGCTTGAGGTAAAATAAATAATCTGTGTTGTTGGTTATTTTATCCTGGTATTTTGAACTAAATATCAGATTAAATTACCATAGTTAAGAACTTTGTAAAGCAAAATTATTATAGAATACATTTTATATCTTAATTCTAGATTAAATAATTCAGTGAATCCGTTCCATCGAAAGCATCATAAGATTAATATTAAACTCTCAATGTAACTAATTATGTAATTTTAACTGTCCAGAAACTTTTAAAAAGATTCCATTTCATAAACAAATTATCATTGATTCGTATTCAACTTTTGAGGTAATTTTAACTATCTGAATATTTTTTTATAGTGTTAACACTACTCCATTTCACAAATAACAAAATATGTATTTTTAATATAGCCATAAGAAAATGTATTACTGAAATGAAAATAATTACTTTTACTAAGCATTCTGGTGGTAATACTTCTGATACCTCAATGGTAAAAAATACGCTTGCAGTGGCTTGTGCAATGGGATATTCAGGTGATGGTAATGACCACATAGCCTAAAATTAAGAATCATTTTACAAATCACATAAATTAAGACTATATTGTGTATGAGTCTAATATTCATTTTATTCAAAGTACGTTGTATTTAAAGACGAATCATACACTACTGCAACAACTTACTTGATATTCATAATTTTTAGAAGGATAATTATCCTTAACACCTAAATAATATATTATATATAACCATTCTTCGTTTGTATTAAAGGAGGCAAGGTATTCATCTATTTTATCGGCACCCAATGCTATACAAAACTCTCCGATTAGTGGCCATCCAGTAAATTTTGGCCTGTTATACTCAATTACAGGATATTCCCCAGAGTATCTTTTTACAAGTCTCTCTTTGGAATTTGATTTAGACGGTATTATTTCAATGTGTGCATTTATTAAATCTAGAAAGAAAAGTTTTGAGAAAATATTGTTTTACTTTGATAGCGCAGATAGAGCAGTACCTTCCGCTTCATTTATAATTTCATCAACAAGGTTTTCTGCCAATGACACCATATCCAAATACTGAGGACATGTGTTAATAACGTCTTGAAATGTTGTGCTATTATATTGTCGGTTCATTGCATTTGAGTCGAGGGACATAAGTCGAACAAATCTTTCTTTTTGTGGTTCTTCATCACTTTCTAGTGTTATAATATCATCTAATGAAATATAATGGGGAGCTGAAATCGTAGTATCCGAAAAGTCATCTGATAGTGATGATGTGGGACTTGAATCAGGATTCATAATTAAAAATTTGTGTTTAAAATTTAATGTTAATGTGTTTAATTTGTTTTAGAGCACTTTATATTTTTATCCATGAATTTTCGCATATATTTATGGCATCACCAAATTTAAAACAGGACTATTTCAGACTGATCATGACAAAATTAAAATGCAAATGAAATATGTCAAAATCCAGGCTTACTTCGTAAATGAGGTACAGTTTTATTTTTTAGTAACAACCTTGAGTTGGCTTATATAACCAATAGTGATAATTTGTACAGGGTGTCCAGAAGGGTTCGAGGGTAGTTTACTTAGACCAAACCAATTTAGAACAAGTTTAGTACAGTACCTCCGAATTCTTTGAAACTGATTGGATTTGCATGAAAATTTAGAATAAGGTTCATCTTAGGCTCAAGTTCAAAAGTGACATAAGCCCGATTGACGCTTTTTGTTTTAAGGGGTAAAAACTACCCCTAAGTGAAAAAAATTGAAAAATTAAGTTTTAAGCATCTTATTGATAAAAATTGTGGTCAAGCACAAAGATTAAATAATGTTCCATGTTCTCGAACATGTTTTATGATATATTTGATCTTTTCGACCCTTTATTTAACCCTTAAAAACTACCCCTATGTAAAAAATAATGATAAAAAATTACTTTTAAAGATTTGGAATGATTAAATTGTGCAATTATTTAAAATAAAAGTTACCTTATAGCTAATAAAAGAATTTTCCCCTTTTAACCCCTAAAAACCACCCCTGTATTGACGAAAATGATAAAAAATTACTTTTTAAAAGCTTGGAATGCTTTAATTTTATTTAAAACAAAAATTCCCTCATTGCTTATGAAAGAATTTGTATCTCATAACACTTTTCAACCCTATAAATCACTCCTGTGCTAAAAAAATGATAATTGTGCAATAATTTAAAATAAAAATTTCGTTATATTGTTTATGAAAGAATATTTTACTTTTGCCATTTTCAACTCTTATAAACTACCCTTTTACCAATATTAATGTAAAATATTTTTATTATAATCCATTTTTAAATATAATCAATCAAAAAAAAATTGCTACGCTGCATATAAATAATCACACTAAATTTTTTTACATATTTTATTTGTATAATATAATATATAACATACAAAAATGAGAAAGCCTATTTTGCTCCGAAAAAATGTCATTGGTTTTTTTACCATAACTCGGTTAATTTTGAAGCTATAGTATCCTATAGAAAAGCATAATTTCAAGAGTTGTAAGATCGTTTGCATATAAAACCTTTTAAGTCCTTCATTTTTTAAAGGGAAAGGATCGAAGGGCTCGAGACAAGTCGTTTTTGCACTAAAATGGATACTTCAAGCCTCCTTTATTTTTTATGCTATAGGAATAAAAAAAAGCAAAATATTTGTTGGAAAAAAAGCTACATTTTTGTTTATCATTTTTTACGTATCTTTCATAGTTTCGGAGATATTATATAAATAAGACAATCTCTTTTGAATAATGAAAAATACGTTTTCAACTTTTACGGTACATTATTCAAAAAATACGCATTCTAAACCGGTCTAACTTCAGGATCGTATGAAAAACACTAAAACAAAACTAATTGTAAAGGGTCTACGATTAATTTTAATTCTGATGGAAATGGTACAGCGTTTACTGCTCATTTTTCCTTAAAAAATATGAGCAACCCATCTGTTTTTGACGATAACTCCTTCAATTTTGCTCTAATTAACTTTTATAAGTGCTCATTTTGAAGGTCTTTTTGAGTACTACAAAAAACTCCAGGAGCGTTATACACGTAAAATTAATCCTTTTTCCGTTATTTGACGTTGAATACATCGATTCGAGTATTCCCCCCAAAACAAGTCCCCTTCCACTAACCATATTTCGCTTTGTATAGGACGTACAACACTTTTTAAAAAACGATTTTCTTTGTTTATTTATAAGCTACATTTTTGTTCATTACACTTTTTTTAATAAAATGCGTAGTTTTTGAGTTATTCGCGAAAAATACTTTGAAAAAGTGTTTTTTTCACTCAAAATTCTAAGTTTTCAATCGTGAATAACAAAAAAACTATTGATTTCTCGATAAAATTCTTCGAATATTTTTTGCTCAAAATTTGATTCTCTATCGATTTCCAGCGTTATTTTTGAAAAAAAAATTTCCACCCCCGTGAAGGGGTGTCTACCCCCAACAGGGTGGAAGCGTCAAACGGCACTATGTCACTAATGTTCATTGATCTTTTCTCTAACTATCTGCTAAATTTCAAGTCGATTGGTTCAGTTTCAAAGAATTCGGAGGTGAAAAACTTCAATGACTGTTATAGTTACCTTATTAGTACAATAGATACTTTTGCCTAAAAATTACGAGTCTTTAAAGGAATTTCTTTAATATTTTTTAAGATAACTCATTATTTAAGATATTTAAATGAAATTTTGTGAGAAAATTTTTATCTAAAATATCTTTTTAGCTGAAGTTGGACATATGTTTATTTCTTACCTAAAATATATGTAGAGAACACCTGTTTTCCCAACACTGGTGGATATTTTGAAGAGAAAACAGAGTTTTTTCCTAAAATCTCACTCGTACTGTAAGCATGTTACTAAAATACATTGTTCAAAAAAAAAAAAATTAATTTTAACTTTCTACTGCTATTCTTAGTTATGCACCGCTAAGTTTTTTTGGATCATTCCATATTAATTAAACGCAATATTTTTGATAAGTAACTATATTTACTACTTTTTACAATTTAGACTAACCTACCTGTGTTCAAACTTCAGCATTTAATCAAGTAGAACTCTTAAAATATGATTCTGCAAAACAACATTTAGGGGTCAATATTTAGGTAGACGATTACATTTGAATAAAGGTAAGTTTGTCCAAATTTTAAAAAATATTTTCTATAGCACAAAAAGAACCTCATGAATGTTATTTAAAAGGGTTTTAATGATAATTTGTGGTGATAGTTTAAAGTAGGCGAAATTTCAAGTTGAGCATAGTTCTTGTTTTTAAGATATGATGAGTTAAACTCGTTATTTGATTCATCCATACCAAGGCGAATACAACATTTTCGGTGACCTCTTGCATTATCTTAAAATTTGCAACAGATACAAGCAGTAGGTACCATTTCTAACATGAAATTGCCAATTCATCTTTCATTAGATTTTACCAAAAATGTACTATAAGAAAGTTACAAAATATTTCTGTAGAAAATAATTAGCATTTTTGCTATACATCTTTAATCAATCGGTATTTTTATACTGAAATCAAAGCAAATCTCGATGGATACAAAGCACTTATAGGAGTCTCTCAGCTTGGTTAGCCTTTGCTGAATCCAGATATTTGTAATATATCCACATATTTCTATACGTAAAGATGCATATTCCCATACTTAAATATATTTGTTATTAAGATTTGCTTCAGAAATTTATTTTTGAATGTAAAAAAAATATTAATAACCGCTTAAAAAAGATAGTCAAAAAAAAATTAAATAAAATAAAAAAACCTCTTCCTGGATTAGTACTGTGACGTGGTGAAGAGGCTTATATATTATTGAAATATATTTCAGTAATATAACCAAACCTAATCTGTCTTAGAAGTGTACATTTACTTTTGAATTCAAATACCGATGAATCGAATATTACCAGTACAAAAAAAAGCTTGTAGGGTACGCCCCTGAAAGCTCTGGACCAATTCTAATTGGTCCAGTTGATGTATGATAATTGTTTTAATAAACTGTAAAAATTTAATACAAATCGGCTAAAGCGTTTTTTAAAAAAACTTGAATTAAAAAAAATAATTAACACCCTGTATCTCATATGACCTTTTTTACATATTTTGCTGAGCTGAATCTCCCCTAGGCTTTTGTCACTTCAACTCTGAAATACCTGATATAGTAAAAAAAGACTGTTTCGGGTATTTTGAGCGACCTCTATATTTTAGGTATGGAATAAAACCTGCCTATACCAAATTTTATTGAAATATCTAAAAAAAACAGCAGAGTTTTTGAGCCTGATAATTTTTTAAGCAAGCAAAATTACACTAAGGTAGCTTGTTGCAAATCGGTTTCCTTATATCCAAGGAAGCTACCCTTGAAGTATGTCTCAATCACGTTCACATACTTTCGAGAATAACTACAAATTTTTGTTTAATGTAATATATTTCATTATTTTTCAAACACATTTCTTGTAAAATAATTTTAAAAACAAAAACAAAAAGGATAATTGAAGTTGTGTTTATCGGTCATTAACATGATTATTTTTAATAATGCAAGATGTTTGCTTGACCTTTACCATGTAAATGATATAGCTATCAAGATTTAGAAACAAATCCAGAACTTAAAACTCAATAAAAATCAGATGGAAAACGAAATGGTTCAAGACAAAGTAATTTTAGCCTATTCAGGTGGGCTAGATACTAGCTGCATCCTAAAATGGTTCCTTGAGAAAAATTTTGAAGTCATATGTTATATGGCTAATATTGGACAGGATGAAGATTTTGAGGCTGCTAGGCAGAAAGCTCTGAAAATAGGTGCATCTAAGGTAACACACAAATATGGAAAAACATTTTTGACACGGTTTGTATCAAAATTTTAAACCAAATTTGGTAAACATTATCTCTACATGTCTATTAAGCTTCTAAAAAATATATTCTTAGAATGAATATGATTTATCTAAGCTATATTTTTTCCAAGATATTATTTAAAACTAATATTAATTACTTTGACAAAAAGTTATATTTAACATATTTTAAAGTATTTGTTTTAAATTATGGGTTTAAAATACCATCTACAGGGAATCTCGGAAACTGTAAGAGGTGCAAAGTTAGTTAAATTACAAAAAAATACAAAACAGATAGGTGCATTTGAATGGTCCCTTTAGTTTTGCAATTTTCATAAATTTCTGACAAAAATGTTTGTGAAAACCATTTTTTTATTCATCTCATCATTTAACAGCATTTACCATTGTGCAATTTTTTTGTAATAAATAATTTGCGGTATCCAAAATTCTCATGGCAAGGAGTCTTAAATAAATCAGGTTGTTTAGGTACTTTTATTACATATATTATGTAAATTAGTAGGTATCTTCATTTACAGGTTGTCATAGAAGATGTTAGAGAAGAATTTGTAAGAGAATATGTATGGACAGCTATCCAAGCTGGTTTAATATATGAATCCAGGTATTTATTAGGTACTTCTTTAGCAAGACCCTGCATTTCCGTGGGATTAATAAAGTGCGCTAGAGATAATCAAGCCAACTATATTTCCCATGGAGCGACAGGAAAAGGAAATGATCAAGTCAGATTTGAATTATCCTGTTACTCCCTAAGTCCTGAAGTTAAGGTAGCATTTTTTACGATTTATTTAAATTTTTAAGAAACACCGATTTCAGTTTTACACAGCAGAAGGTTTATTAAAACATTGGATTTATCATATCTATGTTAAATTAATTTAAATTCTTAGATAATAGCACCATGGCGACTAGAAGAATTTACAACCAGATTCCAAGGAAGGCAAGATCTACTGAAATATGCATCTGAAAATGATATTCCTGTGTCCGTTACTCCCAAAGCCCCATGGAGCATGGATGCAAATTTAATGCACATAAGCTATGAATCTGGAATTTTAGAAAATCCAAGTAAAGAGCCCCCAAAAGATTTGTATTTGATGACCAAAGATCCTAGATCTGCACCCAACGAACCAGTTAGAATTGAAATACACTTTCAACATGGGTTGCCTGTTTCAGTAAAAACTGACGGTAGTTCTTTTAATAATCCACTGGATATTTTCTTGTTCTTGAACAAGATTGGAGGACAACACGGTGTGGGAAGGATCGATATCGTGGAAAATCGATTTCTGGGTCTAAAAGTAAGTAAATCCAATCATTTTAGTGTAATATAATGCAATTTTTTTAACTTTCAGTCTCGAGGTGTGTATGAAACTCCAGCCGGATTTATCCTACACACTGCGCATACTGATTTGGAAGTGTTCTGCTTAGATAAAGAGGTTTACAGAGTGAAACAATCCCTGCGAGACCGTTTGTCTGATTATGTTTATAATGGTTTCTGGTTTTCTCCCGAAGGGCAATATGTTCGGAAATGCATGGCGCTGGCAGAAGAACCAGTTACAGGAGTGGTGAAATTAGAAATATATAAAGGAAATGGTAAATTGTCAACTTTAAGAAAATAATCTTACATCAAAAAAATTAACTGTCTAGAAAATGTTTTAAAGTAATTTTTTGTATTTTTAGTGTTTGTACTAGGAAGATCATCAGAAGTTTCTTTATATAATGAGGATCTAGTTTCAATGGACAAGCATTCAGACTTTTCTCCAAACGATGCTACTGGTTTCATCAATATTCATGCCATTCGACTAAAGGAATATAATCGTTACCAAAAGAAAGTTTAAAATTCATTGATTTTTTTCAAATTTAGTTATGGTACCTTCACCTGTAAAATATATAAATAAAGTTGAGTATATTGTATCGCAAAATTTTATATTTTTTCGAAAATTATTATTCCAAGTGTGGGTGAGATACAACCTACAAAGTATGCCATATCTTAATTGTTATTGGTCGTCTTATATATTGCATATTAATGATGAAAACCAATAAGTCCTTAATTGTTTCCCACTTTATTGGTTAAAAATAATTATTTTGAAAAATCATAATTACCCCAGAACTCCAGTTTAGACTGAATAAACACTATAGTTGTAGTCTTTTAACCATTTTTATTTGAAAGTAACTAAGATAGGTACTTATTTTATCTACTTACAAAAGTATATTTGTTCTTTACGTTAATAATAAGTTTGCTTAAAACTGAGAATAACTAAGAATTTTAGAAGCCCCTCTTCCCCAACGAAGCTAGCCTTACTAATCTGAAACCATGAATCTATAAATGTATGTATTCTTTTACTTCATTTCATCTTAGTCTTACAATTAATCTCAGAAGTAAGAAAATTATTTAGTATAAAGAATTCAACTTATATTAAGAACCAACATGACACCCTTAGATGTACTTGATGAACTGTGATCTAATTAGTAATCCAAAGTCAACCGTTATTTTTTAAAATATGCAACGATTTTTTTAAGCCAAGATTTAAAGTTTAAAATTTATTAAGTTTATGCTTTAGTTTAAAAATCTAGAAAGCATTGCAAATGGCTGAAGACACAAAAGTTGCGGAAACTGCTGAAATGATCGTCTATTTCTGCAATTTTAGGCAAGATTGAAAAATTTTGTCATTTTTAAGCCCATATTATGTAGGTTCTATCTTTAAAAAAATGACAGGGCTGTCTTGATTTTCAACATGTCATAGTGAATGGTGTATATTTTTGAAGTGGAAAAAATTTTAATTTGAAAAATATACCTATAGTTTTATGCAACCAGTTATATTTTAAGCTGTAACCGTCTACTAAATAATAGATTTTAAATTTCACCAAAGTTGCATTCATTGTAATTACCTACGTAATTTTACCGCGTAAGGCCATTGCAAGTTTGCTTGAATATTTCATATCAATGCTTTAACTAGAATGTTAATCATTTTACTCTGATTTTTAAATATATTTAATATGTAATAGGTACTTAACGGATAGTAATGTTATGAATTTAACATTACTCCATTCTGCTAATCTATCCTAGGCATACGAGTTTATACCTATATAGCTACTATAGAATTCAGCATATACAAGGTGTTTAAGAAATACCCTGTGTTTTGAACATAACCAAACTTTAATTTCCACTATTATAATTATTTATTTGTATATATTTTTTCGTTTCTAGAGACTATAACAGTGAATTGGAAATCCTTTAAAGATGTAAAAGATGCTTTGTTCCTAGCGCATTAGAATCAGTTCCCAACAATCAGATTTAGTCGAATTTGATTCCAAACAATAAATTTGGATTTTATTTAAGCATTATATCCTTGTAGAAATATACTACATGGAGGAATCACTGCGTGTTAAAAAGGTGGACGCTGTAGAGAATAGAGAAAGAGCGATAGTTTAGGTACTCGCTATCTCTCACCCTCTCATTGAGTAAGGACTTACGTTGGCCAATTACATGCCTGCGCGAAAGAGAAAGCCGATGTCCCATGCATTCGAATTCTGATGTACGATATCCGAAAATATTTTAATTCATACGAATGATAATACTACTACTACTACTTTCTACTATAAACACAAAGATAGATATAAATTGTATGTATAATTCACATGCATCCGAAATTAATCTCATAGGTCCGGTTTTACAATGTTTAATTAAGTAGAGATTAAGGATTAACTGTAAATTAGAGGAAATAAGGTGTTTTACATTCATTAAGGTCCGGTTTTACAATGTTTAATTAAGTGGAGATTAAGGATTAACTGTAAATTAGAGGAAATAAGGTGTTTTACATTCATTAATTAACCTGATTTTTATATTAAATTATCAATTATCTTAATTGCTGGATGAAGGTAGGTTGAACATTCGATTAACAAATTCTAACCTAAAAAAGTATTTTATATAACCCTTAACAATAATTAAAACTACATATTACCATCGTATAAGTTATACAATGATATGACTGCATCATATTTTTTTCTAAAATGGACTATGAGGTATATGCGTATTCTAGCAACAAAGAAGTAATGAGGAGACCAAAAATTATTAGAGTTAATACATAAATTAATAAATACTTTTTCAATATACACTTTATTTCAATTCTGAGAAGCCCAGATAACACAAAATATATTTTCTACACAACTTAAAATTAATTGCCTTGTTTGTCTGCTAATTCAAAAGGTTTATCTCTGCAATTTTATTTTTTTTCTCGAGAAGGGTCATTTGGTGTTCTTCCATGAATTTTTCTTTTTGTAAATTAATAAAATCAAGTTTTGCTTCAATAAGTTTTTCACTTTTTGATTTATAGTTTTTAGCAACAAAGGATTTTGCACCTTTTTCTGAAAAAATTAATACATTAGGATTCATTATTAATCTATAACATATATTTAATTCCGTTTGAATTTGATTTCTCTAATTTTTTAATACATTATAATCTATACGTTGAAGAGCTTTTTTTTATCCATGTTGTCCATTTTCATATATGCATTAACTTTTTATCACCAAAACGGCACTCACAAAACAGGTATAGTAGAACCACATACTTCTATAGGATAGAAGTATGTGAGTTAGTGATGGGACTACTCGAATGAAAATTATCGATTATATCGATTATGAAAATCTCTCGAGATATCTCGAGTGATCATATAAATTCATTCGATTATTCTTAGACGAATGACGAATGACAGTGGCCACAGCATTACTAACGTCAATCGTCACTCGTCATCACCGAATACCGCAAACGCGCT